CTGCGGTATACGATGCTATCATCTGCCGAGAAAGGCTTGTGATGTTTTTATGTGATGCTGTTTGTAATTTATGGGATTTTAATCACAAAATGATTCCCAAAAGTACATTTAGCTTCAATGTAAAGACAAAAAATAATAATAATAAATGTTATAAAACTGCATAATGACTGAATTTTGTTAATGGCCTATTGACAATTTTTTGTCACGTGTCACAACGTAAAGCTGTAAAACTTAAAAAATAAGCCACAAGCCAACTTCCAAAATGGTGCGTGGCTGCATCTAGTTATAAGAAAGGTCACTATTGAAAACTGGTTTACCAGTTTAAAATTGGACACCACCATATAGCTATAGATTGTTTAAAATTATTGTTTCGTTAAATGATTGGGGTGGCTGAAGATTAATCTGTGGGGACAAGGCCACCGTTGGCCACCCCCTGGCTCTGCCATTGCACCTGGTAGTGGATTAAATAGTTTGCTCCGCTCACCAAGATCTGTCACTCTGTTCTGCCCCGGACAAGAAAAACAAACTTATCTTTCTTTTTTACAGTGTAACTCCTTGAAACTTCTTGCAACAAAAACATTGAGGTTTATTTATTTTCCCTGTTTTCTTCAAGTCCAGAAAAACTGTCTTGAAAGGTACTGACAGTCACTGTTCAAATCCATCAGCGATGGAGCACATTGGCGTACCGCTTTTATTTGTTTGTTTGTTTCATTCAGTAATTGCTGGAGTCATCAGTCTGCAACTTTCATTTTGTGGGTTGAGAGCTGAAAAGTTTTGACTGTGTTTAGCTTGAATGTATCCTAACCAGATGTCACAAATGCTAAACATAAATAAGCTAAATCATAAAAATCGAAAAACAAATTGTGTCCTATTTTCCCCCCCTTCATTTGTTCGTTGTTTAAAACCCAGCATGAAGAGTTATGTTGAACAACACAAGCTTGCCTTCAGGTGTAATCTAAACTGCTGACGCTGTTAAATTAAGCCCTGCGGTCATTTGAGTGATCACACATCTTACAAGGTCACATTTAAGTTATGTTTCTTGTGTTTAAAATTGCTTCACGACTCACCCCAAGTAGCGTCTTGGCATGCAGCGAGTACCTGCGAAAAAAAAGGGTAATTATTTACTGCACAGTTCACTGTGCTGTAATTGGAAACTCTATTGAAGCTGTAAATACAGAACCCTCTCCTTTGCTGTCACTGAGAAGGTTCCTTTTTTTACACATTTGGCCCGCTGCACACATTATTTACCTGGCTTATTGTCAAGTTAAGATTCAGTCTCAAAGGGCTTCAAAACCAGCAATAAAAAGTAATGGAACATAAGTAGTGGGCCCAAGTTTAGATGGTGTTCTGCTGCCCGGCCCACAGCAGCATGAAGTTAGCCCAACATCAGCAGCAGTTGTTGAGGAATTATCAGCCATGCATCTTATGTCATGAGCGTAAACTAATTTGTTTGGATCTGCAGCTAATTTGAAATGCAGTGATGAATCAGTCCATTACAATGTAGCTGTGAGACCTCAAGCACTATCAAACAATGGGGAGGGTTCCCACTTGTTCTCTTTTACTGTGTAGGATCCAGTACTGCTGCACGAGCTGCAGCACAATTCTCACAGTAGTCCTGTTTTATTGGACTCACTCAGCAATGCTTAACCAGTGTTTTAAGTCTTGGTACAGTCCGTATATTTCCCAAATGGAGTTGCAGTGTTGTATACCACTTCCCCATGTGGCTCCTCTGATTTCCATTAAACCACACACACACTCACACTCACCAGGTCACTTTATTAGATCCACCTTGTTAACTCAAATAGCCAGTGATCAGACATGATAGTGAACAATCAGAGGAAGCTGGCTCCTTACCATAATAAAGAAGGAAAAATAAATTTAGAAGAAAAAAATCAACCACACATGTATTTAAGAGTTTTTATTTTTATTAACTTTTTGATGTTCTAGACCCATTGAAAGCCAATACAGTAAGTAGAGCCCCCACCCCCTGCAACAAGTGATGAAGTAGC